GGTGACAATCCAGTCAAAATATGGTTCACGCGCATTACGCACCAGAAAAAATGAAGCAACGTTCACACGTTGGAACACACGTTGGAAATGATGATCATCGGAGAGTTCATGAGGCACCCAAACACCTTCTTTATGGAGTTTTCCCATATTCCTTAGATGTTTGCGTATTATTTCATGAGAGACATGCAACTTCAGGGCAATTTCACGAGTGTGTTGCTTTGGATTAGACTCAACAAGCTTCTTCAGAGCATCAATATCAATTCCAACATGTCGGCCCCTTCCATCACGGTTTTTAAGGCTAAAGTCACCTGAATGAAAATTTTTGAACCATCGTTGACACTTACGAACGGTCAAAACATTTCCATAAACTTCTTTGATATTCTTTGTGGCTACAGAGGCGTTGTTTCCCCTTCTTGTATTCAAACAGCATTACATGCCGAATGTGTGTCTCGTCGTGTGCCATCACTGCTAAGGATTAGAATTTACTAAAGTTTATACATTATATAGGCTACACTAACGTGACGTTTAGGTGGTTCGTTTAATTACTATACGTGATGTACGTTTTATGGGGGTGGTTAATTAAAGTGTACGAAAATCAAACATTAATTTCTTGACGACCTAATAGAATGCATCTGGTATAAATGGTGATGATATCAGCTAATAAAGTGTCTCTGAAGCACTCGATCTGTTATATTTTAAAGCCTCTAATTTTCATATACATATAGTAAATATGTTTTTTAAGAAAAGTAAATTTGAGAATAATCAAAGTTGATGACCTTATCATTATAATCGTTTATTATTGTATATTTATTTTAATATCGATGTTTGTTTAAATTAAATATACTGTTAAATATGTATTGTAAAACTCCCGACTATTCTCTAAAGTTGTAGAAGATTCTCGAGTGTAAGAATCAACAATATATGTGTATACGTAAACGCGTCAGTATTGTTACGTAAAACTGAAATTTCGAGAAACTCTCTACACACCTATAAATATAACCAACGCGACGCGCCAAAAAAACAGTATATATATTATTGGTGTGCTATAGTTGGTATACTGTAAACCTCGGAAGCTATAGCTGTGACTAACGCTTATTAATCGGGAACTTCAGATATATTGACCAAGAACTTTTATAAATTTCGAACATTACAAATCATTCAACTTCGGTGGATTCAAATCGGACATTAGTATTTTTACAATAACATTACCTAACATCACCGGTAGGAAAAATCAGTATGTGATTAGTGAATTTCACAGAGCCAGCTATCTCCCTATTAAGTGAATTGTATTTAAGTCAACTCGAAATTAACTCGCTCATCGTGAATCCTCCATAACATATCAAGGAAGTTCAAGACTAGAAAGAAGACTTTATACTGCTTGTAAGTTTGTAAAACTTTTGTATATAAATCCTTGTTTGTGATAACTATTTGTAATAACTATTATTGTAAATTATATTATTGTTTGTGTATTAAAATAAATTTGTATTACAAAAAACTGTATATATCAATCTTGTTGGGAAATATCATAAATTGGAGATATAACGGCATATATTTAACTATTTAATTTAAATTATCGTTTAGCTCGATTTCAGACCATTCGAAATTGTAATACGTGACATCGTTCACTATTTTTTTCAAACATTATTTCTTTAATAATTTATCAAGTTTCAATATTAAAATAAAACAACAATTTTGCTTTAGGATAGAATTAATGCAAAACTTAAATTAGATTAAACATTTAAGTCCTGACTTTATGCTATGCACAAACATATTACCATCTTTCTATTGCAATCTTTCATTCTTATAACTGAAAATTTATTGTGACAAGTAACTAAGCATTCCTTAGTTTGTCAGGTTTTGACACTGCCTATGTAAAAGTCATACATTTTGTTTCACACTGCATACGTAAAAGTCATACATTTAATTTGACATTGCCTTCGTAAAAGTTTGACATTTTGTTTGATATTGTCTACTTAAAAGTATGTCATGATATAAAAGACTGTTTAGTTTATATGTTCTTGACCGATTTTTTTTTTATGAGTTAATATTTTATTGTTGTTTATTTTTTGTTATAATAAGAGTTTAGGACAGACGATTGTGAAAGGTTTTGTTTAGAATTCATTGATGTTGAGACTATTGAACGAAAATACAGAAGTCGGACAGACGATTGACGGATAAAGATATGAATAGTGTGAGACGAGCGGAAACAGTAGTCAGACAATAGAAGAGAGTAAAGTTACGGGCAAGGAAAAGTTTGGCGTGAAGTTAACTATCGTAGAAGTGATAGGCCTAACGTATTATTTGTTAGAGTAAGACTAACAGTTGAAAAGGAGATAAGAAAAATAATTTATTCCGTCAAAGCGTGGTTCTAAAGTAATTGAATCAGCCTAAGTACACTTTGACAAAAGGAGCAGAGGATCTTCAGAAGAAAGAGGACCAAACGATTACGGTAACTCGCGCTTAAATTGTAAGTGAATCACACATAGAGTACTAGTGCGATGGTAATAGAGAAGATAGTTCGGCTTGTCAACTGAAATTCTAAAATAATTGAATTGGCCTAAGTGGACTTTTGACAAGAAGGAGAGAACTAAATATATAGTGTCTATGATATGTCTATAATCTCTATAATGTTGAAGAATTTGTTGTACATACGTTTAACTTGTTCCG